ATGGCGCACTGGCCCCAGTGCTCTAAGACAGAGAAATAAACCTGTTGTGTTCAAGCATTCACACAATGGGTATACTTATTAAGTATACTCAGCCCATTGAACTGTCTTCCAGCCATTTAGTTATGGAGCCTTAAAATATTAATGATGTCCTTTCTTCCACCTCCCTGCCAAACTTTCTAGGTGTGACATCCTTAATTCCCAGTCATTGGGAGGGAATAGTTCTGGAAAACAGAAGAAGCCCTAACAATGAAAGTCTGAGCTTTCAGCTCCATTCTCCACTAAGAAGCTGGAATGAAGATGTCTCCAGACCTTTGGAGGTGACTGACAGTGGAGAGAGCCCAGTCCAAGAACTTACAAAGGGAACTTACAAAGACACCGTCAGACGCTGAAACTCACCCCATTGCATGCAAGGGACCAGGAACTCACAAGTAAGCCAACGTCTTGTTCCTACCACCTACATGGCTAGCTAGCACCAGGGTGTGAAACTCAGAGAAATCACAGTCTCAGGTCTACTGTACAAAGCCACGTCCAGTGCAAGGAGATGATCTGTGACTGATTCAACCCCTTCACAGACGCTGGACTCTCAAGGCTAAGACAGTCCACTTTCATGAATGCTCTCTGGGTTTATGTTTCTTTCACACACCACAAACTCCCCTGTGCTCACTACGAAGTTGGCTAAAGGACAAACGGCTTCTGTTGGAATCATGAGGAAGCAAATGTGTCTCCTCCGTCTTGGCATTTTCCGAGAAACTGTCAAGAATAACATGGCCATGGGCTAGCAATGGAGCTGTTAGTAGATTGCTTGCCTTGTATGCATGAGGCTCTGTATTTGGTCACCAGCACCAATATAAAACCAGACAAGCCTGTAATCCCAATGTTTGGGAGATGGAGGCAGTATTATAATTTCAAGGTCATTCTTGCTCCTCAGTGGATAGCCTGGGCTACAAGATTCCCACCAAAGAGCAAAACAAAGGCCTCTCTGGAATTGGTTCCTTTCACACTAAATTTGGAGTTTGGGCTCTGGATTAGGGATTTGCATATGCAAAACATCTAAAACAACAAACACTGCATTTATCTTTATGTCCACACATTAGCCAAGCTCTCTACCACTCAGATTCTCCCCCAGCCCTCACTGTACTTCTTGTTGTCTACTCAGCTGCCTCTTGTCTTGTTGGAGCTTGAAGACCTCCCTGACTTTGAGGGCAGTTGAGTTTCTCATCTTGTTTCTTGGTCACAGTGGTCACAGTGCTTTGTGACTCCCTTGGAGCCATGAGTCTCTGTTTATGGCCACAATGAAGACAATTTCCAATCTGTCCTCCGAGTGCATGGGTATTAAGGTTTGTTCTTCAGCCCTAAATGTCATTTGAGAAATATAATTTTGAGCTACACAGAACCAAAACTTTCTGATATTTAAAGAGCTAAGGGGAACACCAGAAAAGAACATTTCCCGTTAGCATGACCCAGGAAATTCCAGCACATATGACTTCCATAGCTGTGGACACAGCATGTCAGAATCAAGAGCACGAAGGAGTGTGGTAGTTGGTTTTTGTCAATTTGACACAAGTAGTTACTTGGGAAGAAGGAATGCTTCCATCATATTGGCCTCTAGGAAATGAATGACTGGTGTAGGGGAGTGCTGGAAAATGTGGAAATATACAGCATATGGCAGCTGATAATTCAGATGTTAGCCCAGCAGAGGAGTAACTGTCTGATGGAGGTCAGTCCTGTCCACGCAAGGCCTGCAGGACCATCAGCTCTGGAAACTGCTGTTCACTTTTGCTAAAGCAGCTTGGTGTCCCCCCCAATACCTGCACTGTAGTGTGTAATCTCATGTGATGTGTATATGTAATCTCATGATTACATCTCAATTTTATGGGCACATATATCTGTGGGTAGTCAGGAAGATGACTTTTCATTTAGCTACATAATTTTGACATATAGAATACAGGCTTCATAACTAGATCTATTTGTCCAACAAGGGCTATAGATACTTAAAGGCCCATTTTTTCCCTTTTTGCTCAGATTAACTGCACACAATTAGCTCACTTTCATATCAAAGCACGTTGTTGCCCTCTGCATATGTGTGACAGTTGTATAGCTTGGGCTATTTGTGGGATTCCTAGCAGTGGGATCAGGGCCTGTCTCTAAAGCTTGAACTGGCTTTTGGGAACCTATTCCCCATACTGGGTTGCCTTGCTCAGCCTAATACAAAAGGAAGAGCTTACTCCTACCTCAACTTGATATGCCATGCTTTGTCGATACCCATGGGAGGCCTGCCCCTTTGTGAACAGAAACAGGAGGAGTGGGTTGCAGGGGAGAGGGGGCACAGAGGGGTGATAGAAGGAGTAAATGGGAGGAGAGGAGGGAGGAGAAACTTCTGGCTTCCAACCCTATCCACACGAGCTCTGTCCTCAGCACCATCCGAAGTGTGTGTCTCAGGGAGGGGCTCAAGCGTGCTGTAGGCAGCTATGATGCAGAAAGGATGCCTCAGGCAGTTTTGGGCTGTAGTAACCAAATACCAGAAATGGAAAGCTTTGTTGTCCCTGTGTAGCTGGGGGTTGAGTTATGGGCGTGTTTCCACTGAGCCACAAGCCTCCAAACTGGATGGCATAAATAGCAGAAATTGATTTCTGCCACATTTCTGAAGACAGAAAGTCTAGGGCCAGAATGCTTGCATAATTGTGTACTGCTGAGGGCCCATCCCCTGGGTCCTAGACTGCTGGCCATCTTCTTGCTGTTTCCTCACACTGGATAGAGAAGGGGAGAGAGAACACTAGTATTTCCTAAGAGGACCAGTCTCATCAGAAGGGTCTGTTTTTATTTATTTCTTAGCTGCTTCCCAAGGTCCCATCTCGGGGCTGGAGAGATGGCTCAGAGGTTAAGAGCACTGGCTGCTCTTCCAGAGGTCCTGAGTTCAATTCCCAGCAACCACATGATGGCTCACAGCCATCTGTAATGAGATCTGGCACTGTATCCTGGAAAGTGTACATATAATAAATAAATACATTTAAAAAAAAAAGAAAGAAACCAAGGTCCCATCTCCACATACCATCACATTCTCAAATGTATATATACAGGGCTCCAGTATGTGAATTTGAGAGTTGCAATTGGGTCCAGAGCACAGGAATTTTTGTTGTTTTTATGGGTGCAACTAATGATGAAAACACATCGAGGAATGTGACTAGGGGATCTGTATTTCTAAATAATTCCAAAACAATACTCATATTAGTTGCTTTCTGGGTTTCTGTAAATATTGTAGCCACAAAAGGAGGAAATTTTTATTTGGGCTTGTGGCAGCAGAGGATGTCTTTTTATATGCAAATGTTTTATTTAGTCATAAAAATAATAAAATATTTGCTGTAAAATAGATGTGACCGGTGATCATTATATTAAGCAAATAGGTCAAATTCAGAATGACAAGTGTCACATTCTTTCTCATTTGTGGATCCTAGATTTTATATAGAAACATAAAACACACTGTGTGTGTGTGTACGTGTTTGTGTGTAATATGAAATTAGAAAAGAGGCTAGAGAAAGACTCCAGTGAAAGGAGGAATGGAGAGTAAGGAGATTATTTATGGAGGGGGAGGGTGAATACAAAGTATATTATTAAATTGAAGGAATTATTCTTATGAAACCCAACATTATATGCAATGAATATATGCCAAAAAAGAATTTGCAGTTGTGGTGATACACTTTTATAAAAAATCTTCTAAGAGACTTGAGCTGGCACTTAACACAGCCTGTAGCAGAGGATTTCAATCACCAGGGCAGAGAAGGAACATGTGGCACAGACTGTTCACATAACAATGGACCAGGAAGCAGGGAACCAAGCAGGAACCAGGGGCTGGATGGAATCTTTCAGGGCCACTTCTGGTGACCTTCTGTAAGCTCTAGAACCTAAAGATTCCATAGCTTCCGACAACAGTATCACCAGCTGGGAAATACCACCTAAAATATGAACATGTAGGGAACATTTCATACTCAAATTCTTCAACCCATGGCAATCTTGTTGGCCTAGAAACCGCATTTGGAAAACCCACTCTTAAAATGGAATTGCTGACTCCTGAATTGAAGATTCCTGAGACAGAAATAAAGAACCTAGGTGAAAAGGACCCATGCTAGTAAATTCTATGAGTTCACAGGAAATGTAACTCCCACTTTCAGCTCTCAAATGGAAGGCATCGAGGTTCTATAACGTCCATTCTCAGATATCCTCAAAAAATGCCTGCCATGTTTCCCCTTTTCTGTTGTCCCCAGGCAGAAGTCAGGAGTCTTACTAATCCCTGGGTCATCTATTTGGAAAAGTAAAAAAGACTTCACTTCCTTTTCTAGTTTGCTTTCAGTGCTGTGAGAAACACCATGATCTGTTCATTGGAGGTATTCAAACAAAACCCACAGAACCCCATTGGAAGATTGTGTGAGGAGGGGATTCAAGCATTCAAGTGGACATACATACATACATACGTATGTATCTTCACATACACATGTGAGAACTTTTTTGTTTTATTTTTAGGGACTGTGTAGCCCTGGCTAGCCCGGAACTAGGCAGACTAGGCTTGCCTCCGCCCTAAGTGCTGGGATTAAAGGCTTGCGCAGCCATGCCCGGCTCTATCTCCATATTATATGTGTGTGTGTGTGTGTATTTATGGACAAAAAGGGGCTTTCATGCAGGGCAGTGTTAACACTGACTTTTCCAACAAGGTGTCGGAACCTAGGGCCACCTACGAACGTTAACTTGGTTCTACATACACAAAGCCTACTCACAGCTATCGTCCTTACAGGGATGTAATGCTTTACAATTAGTGTAAAGCATCTCTAAGTGACCCGTTATTACTGCGATTCTCAGAAGCACAAAAACGCAGAGGAAAACCGGCAGCAGGCAGCAGAGAGCCTTCCGCCGCAGCTGCATCCGGGGTCTGTGGCCCGCGGACTTCCGGTCCCTCCGCCCAGCAGCCGGAGCTTCCGAAACGTGAGCGCCCGGCGCAAGTAGGGCGGGGCGTGCCGTGCCCTGCCGCGCGCGTGCGCAGGCGACACGCCGTGGGACGAAGCCGAGCCGCTGAACCGCCGCCAGGTCTGCTCCGGCTGCACGCCGCCCGCCGCACCGCCGCCCGCGTCCTTCTCCTCCTCCTCCTCCTCCTCCTCCTCCGCCAACGCCGCCGCCATGGGAGTGCAGGTGGAGACCATCTCTCCTGGAGACGGTGAGTAGACGCCCGCCGCCCGCTCCCCTGCCGCCACGCGCAGCCGCTCACCTGCCGTCTGTCTCTCCTCAGGGCGCACCTTCCCGAAGCGCGGCCAGACCTGCGTGGTGCACTACACGGGTGAGTCGGGTGGGGCCGGGCACTGGGGGTGGGGGAGGGGGGAGAAGCGGGGCAGGAGGTCGGGGCGTGGCGGCCGCGTGGCCGGCGGCCGAGGCCTGGGCGGTGGCCGGGCCCCGAGGGACTGGCTGGGCCCGCTGGGCCGAGCGGGGCTTCGGGCAGGCGCAGTCTGGTACCCCCTGAGCGGTGCGCGGGCCCCCCAGGGGCTACAGGGTCCCCGCTGCCCAGACGAGGAAACTGAAGCTGGGCGAGCTCTTCGCCTGGTGGAGGTCAAACGCTCCCTGCAAGGGTTCCCTTAGATTTGAACAGTTTCCGAGGCCTGATGGATACCTTCTCCGTGCTTTGGGAGGGGGGGGTCCTCCCTTCAGTAGTAGAAGGGTAGGTAATTCCTAGTCTGCCCAGCCATCCCTTCCCGGGAAAACCCTTGAATTCACCTTTCTGGGACGGGTGGGAAACGACCCACTTGCTAAGTCATTATTGTGGTTTCACGTGCCCTTCAGGATATAGATAATGCAGGATCTCTTTCTCTCTCTTTGACCCATTTGTAAATCTTAGCTGGTTAGCAGTGATTACCAGACTAAAGGATGCACCATGGCATTACCACGCTCCCCTTTCTAGGAGTAAAGACTTTTCGCACCCCCGTTTTAAAAATAAAGGAAACCGAGGGGTCGCGAGTGCAGTACACAGTAACTAAAATTTTAAAGACGTGCACACCCGCCAGAATTCAAGTATCAAGACCATTAGGATTGTTGGCCCTGGGACCATCTTTTCCTCCATGCCCTTACAAGGTCCTTCTGGGTTGGGGAGGGGGAGGGTCGCTGGCTCTGACTTCATAGCTAGGCTGAGTGGTGTAGCCACAGCTGATATGAATCGACTTCCCTCCCCCTCCTTCCCTTCTCCCACCCTTTCCTTTGTCCCCCCCTCCCCATCCTTCCTCTGTTTCTTCTGCTTCTCCCTCCTCCCCTCCACTGTCACCACCCCCACCGTTTTTTCTGGCTGATCTGGCCAAGCTGTTCAGGCTCAAGTTGCCTTCTCTCCCTGATCAGGGGAGGATCCCTCTCCTGAGGGGAATGACTTACTGGGAAGGAGAGAAAGGCAACGCACATCCTCCTTTCTCTGCCCCATTTTTTCTGTGACTTCTTGAGTAGAGAAGCGGGCAGGAGATGGAAGGAGTTAAGGACCAGAACCTTTGAAAAACTGCCAGTGGAAGGAATATTGAACTCCATCTTTGGGTAGAACCGACTCTTGTCATGAACAAAAAACGCGAGGTGTTTTGGACATTAACGTAGCCCTTGTGGTAGGCTCCAGCCAGCACCTTAGTCTGGAGGGCTAGTAGAGGAGTTCTTGTCAGTTTAGTCATCTTTGATAGCCGGTTGAAAGAGAATATTGTTGCTCTTTTTAATATTGTTGCTTTTTTTTTTTTTTTTTAAACCGTGTTTAAGGCAGTGGTTCTCAACTTTCCTAATGGTGTGACCCTTTAACACAGTTCCTTATGTTGTGGTGACCCCCAACCATAAGATTATTTTTGTTGCTACTTTATAACTACTCTTTTGAATTGTAAAATATCTGTGTTTCTAATGGTCTGAGGCAGCCCCTGTGAAGGGTTGTTAGGCCCCTAAAGGGATCATGACCCACAGGTTGAGAAACACTGGTTTAAGGGGTTAGGGAAGTGGGTGAGTAGGCAGTGCCCTGAATTCCCATGGTTGCAGTAGCCACACTATAGTGCCTGACTGCATCTGTCTCTTAAGACTGACCCTCATCCTTGCCTAACCTATGTTTTGCTGCTGCTGAAAACCAGGTACCAGCATATAGGCAGAAATGATTTGCTGTGCCTCTTGGTGAACTCTCTCCATAGAGTGTCTGTAGCCTCTTCCTAAAAGAACAGATGGCTGTGGGACCCAGAACAGCATCAGGGCTCCTAATGCCTCTTCGAGTCTGTGTTCTCCATGCGGGTGGCATCCACCCACATGTTCCCAGAACAACAGCAGGACCCTGGCGCGGATTAAAACAAAAGCTTTCTTTTTTATTTCATTTTGATAAGCTCCACAAAGACGCCTTAGTGAGAAGCCAGCTGTGCCTCGCACTCACAGAATAGGCTGCTCTCCTGAGGGCGGGTGGCTTTGTTCCCAAGAGGCTTTGCCACCAGCCTCCCAGGAAGAACCTGTTTGAGACCTGTGGGGGCGTGAGAGAGGGGGGTAGAAGTGCTGTGTGAGATCACATCCGTAGCATGAAGGCTTTTAAGGCACTGGGAATAGAATCCATTTTGAAGGAATGGTGAACAGAAGAGATTGCTTTTTAAGATTGGAGGAAGAGGATCTTCAAAGACAGGAAAGCCATGGAGTCCCAAGACAGAGGAGAAAGCCCCTATTTCTCAACTCTGGTTTTCTCAATGTCTGGCTCAGACCGTTTGGCTGAGTGACTGAGAGGAAGGATGTGAGTGACTCAGGTGTGAGCTGGGTGAATACTCCTGATGATGCAAGTTTTAACACAGGTATCCGTTTCTGCTGGTTTAGAATGGGTCCAGAGAGACAGGAAAGGAAGGAAGGTGACCAGAACCCCCCTCACCCCTCAGTCTTGAATGCCAGAGATGAACCCCAGGACCTTGCAGGTAGCCAAACATTTCAACTATTGGGCTGCACTCCCAGCCTCAACCTCAGTGATGTTATAAATGCCAATAAGGGCTGACTTAGTGCCATGTTAAGCATTCTGTGACCTCTGCCAGAGCACAGCATGAGTGAGGCCTTGAAGGCCTCTGTGGTGCCACTGAGGATAATTCAGTGATTGCTGAGAGCTGCGACCTGAGGGAGGAGGTGGGATTGTAAGCTACACATTTAAGTCCTTAAAGGCCAAGTAGATTTCCACAACCCCTCCCTCCCTGTCTCCCGCAGCTGCTTCGTGGTTGCTTGAGGCTTATCTTAGTGCATATCTCTTTTTACTCAGCCACAACAGGCAACCTGCTTGCCATTGTGAGAGCAGTCTCAAGTGGATTGAAGGAATTCTTTTATCCTCCTAAAGTTCAGCTAGACACGTCCTTGGGATGAGGTTTAGCCACCCCTAGGATCCTGGTGTCTGGTGGAGAAGACAGTTCCTTGGCATCACCTCAGGTCTGACTGGGGCTGTCAAGTCTTCCAGGGCTCATCTGGCCCATTGCCTTTAACTTTTCTTTAGCTTTCTTCCCTCTTTTCTGCATATTTTACTCACTCCCTACAAGCTGTTGTAGTTGGTGAACTGATGGTCTGGAGGGAAGCTCATGTTTATCTTCTAGTGTGCAGCATGGCTGTCACAAAAGTCTGGAGCTGTTGGGGCAGAGTTGTGACCATGTGCCTTCCCCTCTGCAGCAACAAGGCAGGCACAAGATGTGGCCAGTGAAAGACTTGGTCTCAAGAGGGGGTATTAGTATGATGACATTGTGACATGTCAGGTAGACAGAGACACAGCGGAGAGAGTAAAGCAGAGAGGGATGGGGAAGGGAGTTTTAGTGTAGAGAGTTAGAAAAGGGCTGGGCAGTGGTGACGCACGCAGGCAGAGCCAGGTGGATCTCTGTGAGTTTGAGGCCAGCCTGGTCTGTAAGAGCTAGTTCCAGAATAGGCTCCAAAGTTACAGAGAAACCCTGTCTCAAAAAAGGAGGGGAGGTAGAAAAGTCCCGATGAGTGCCCTCCCCCGGCCCCCAGCATCACGCACAACAAGTTTGGTAGTGGACTCTGGCCATCTGGAGGAAGAGTTCTTGTGCAAGGCCCAGGGCCTGGAGTGGATTGTGTGAAAGAGTGGTAGGCAATAGGAGTAAGGGCACTTGGTATGTTGCTGTAAGAACACTCTTCCTCTGGGTCAGGTAAACATGTCTTGAGCTGACATGGATTTTGACCTTCTCCCTCTGGAGGATATATAGTACTCTGGTTGTATGTCACTTGTGAGAGTGTTCTTGCCCAACCCGTTGATAGAAGTAATGCTGTTAGGCTTGCTTCTCAAGGATGGAAATCCTTTGCTGGCTTTGTGTTCGTCTCTGCAATCAGTGGGCTCTGGGAACTTAATTAAATCGTTGTTTTTCTTTTGGCTTTTGTATGTTGTCTGTAAAACCATAGTAGTAGCACCTTGTGAGCAGTGGCAGCTATGGCGGTGTTCATATTGTGCTTAGATTTCTTATGCTCCATGTACCAGATACCTGAGCTGTTGTCTTGGCCCCAAAACTCCTTGGAGTGGTCAGACTTAGATGCATTTAAAATTGAAGCAGTTGGAAGCCCTGAGCTGGAAGCATGGTGGCTCATACCTTTAATACCAGTACTCAGGAGGCAGAGCAGGTGGATCATTATGAGTTTAATGCCAATCTGGTCTATCCTAGCAAGTTCCAGGCTGACCAAGACTACATGGTGAAACCCTGTCTCAAACACAGAAGTTGGAAGTGGTTGGCTCCAGCCAGGATGACCTCCTGTTTCCCAGGTGGAGAAATGGGTGTGCAGAGGAGATGTTGGGGAGTAAGTCTATCTACAGCCACACTCCTAGGGTGTGTGCATGAGGAAGCCGTTTGGTGGTGGTAGTTGTGAGAGTGGTACAGCTGGCCTGTGCTACTGCTACCTTAGCTACGTGGACAGGTTAGGGTTTGCTTCTCTCGCAGATTTCCTTAGCTTGGTAAGGTGTTAGCAAATGAAAATGGACCCTGCTCTAGAAACGTTGCTTTCTTCGGGCATCGTGAGTCCCCAAATCAGTTACATAAGCACTGATATCTTCCTTCCACAGGTAAGGACAGCGGAGGCTCCTTTGTCTTCCCCAAAGCATGTTTCTCCTATGTGGGTGCCACTAATTATGGAGAGCCTTTCAAAGAAGGGAAAGTGAAAACGGCCATAATGTGTCCGAGAGCTGCTGCCTGTGTGGCACAGGGGTTGCCGTTTCGTTTTATATGTGCTGTTACTGTCCACTCTGTAGTTCTATAACCAGTGGTTAGCTGGGCCATCTTGTTTTGTCGTCCGTCCCCCGTCCCCCCCCCCCCCCCCAAGATAGGGTCTCAGTAT